TCTGTCCCTGCACACTCTGGTTAATGGGGAATAGAGTAGTGGGGCTAACAGAGCATAAAATGCCCTGTGCTGCACCCATGAATATAGTGTTACTGTGAGCAAGATTTGTGGCTTCAGGGATCGCTTACTAATACTGGGAGTACAGAGCATCATTGCATGATCAGAGTTTGCAGACACCTGACCAAAGTGGGTTTTTTAATGTAGTTAGAAGGGTTTGCACAGCTCTGGGACAACAATGGCAAGGGGAAAAACTGACCCTGTAATAAATAAGGAGTCCATATTACCATGGGAAGTGCACTGAGGTCTTACAAAATGCTGCCTTCAAAGGTCAGGTTGAAGTCATGGGAAGAGGGTGTGTGGCACCAAAAACCTGCATTACAGTACAGACAAGGTATCAGAATGGACCCCAGCAGCCAAGGGAAGGCAACTTGGGCATTTTCAAAGGTAACACTTTTCTTCCTAAGCTATAAGAGACAAAACAAACTCTACCCTTTGAGAAACCCACAGGATTGGGGAATTTATATCCTGGCCTTTGTTTCTGCGTGGCACATGATGCAGCACATCAGGTAAGACACATTAATTTAGTGCCAGAGTGCAAACCAAGGAAGGGCATCTCTCTGACAGTCACTGCTCATGTTTCAGCTTCAGACTGCTGCTCCACACAAGGAGCATTACTGCAGAGCAGCAGGCATGGGGAGAAAACAAACAGCATCGTTTCCCCTCAGTATCAGATTCCTACCCCAAGACCCTTCTCTAGTATGCTCCCTGGCCATGAGCAGGATTGGTGGGCTACAGCTGTAGCACCAGAAGGTGTTCTTCAGTAACAACAGACAAGCTAACATTGTGTGGGAGACAGCAAGTTGCATCTCTCACCAACCTACTATCACAAAACTGTCTGAAAATAGCTGAACTAGAAGGCTGCAGAGCAGCCACACTCCAGTCTGCACTTTAAAGGTGCAGAAAGCTTTCTGGTCTTCTCAGTTGCCTCTTTGCTTTAGGGGACAGCTGTACACCTGGTTCAGCAGCAGCTGCAGGGTCCCTGGTGCCACTAGATCCCTCAGGGAGACAGGGATCAGATCCAGCCCCCTGAACAGCAGCCTGTGCATGCTGCATTGTGTTTCTTGTCAGAGGCTCATTAACATATTGATATTTAATCACTGCCACTAGGCCAAAAATAAAAAGGGGACGTGGACCACAGGCCTTCCAAAAGTTTGGAGGAGAGGCAGCACACCTGTCAGTGGGACTGCAGGCTCAAAAATTCTGACTCCCATGGCAGCCTGAAGGCAGGTGGGGAGAGTGGACCATGTGCTTCCTTAGGTGTGGTTAAAGACGTGACCATGGCCCCTCAGGGACCAGCACAGTTAGTCACTTCTTCAGCACTGATGTTTTGGAGTATAGCCGGTTGGCTTTTAATTTCGTTTTCTCAGGCTCACACACATATGGAAATTATAGTATTGAAGGGGCAGCTAGAGCAGTTTAAGGGGTATTTGTAAGCCTACACCGGAAGTAGATAACAATACCTGATGGGTAATGTTAGAGACAGAGAAAGAGGGTGAATTCTGCAGATGGCAGCTGCAGAGCCTGGAAGTGTTCAAGGCCAGGCTGGATGGGACTTTGAACAACCTGGGCTAGTAGCAGATGTGCCTGTCCATGGCAGAAGGGCTGGAAATAGATGGTCTTTAAGACCCCTTCCAACCCAAACCATTCTAAGATTCTATAAAAAGGCATGTCATGGAAAGCAGCTGCACTGTGTACACTTACTTTGAAAAGGATTCCTCACTGCCCACCTCTGCTTCTATTTCACTTCCATTTTATTTCTTCAGGCCCTGTTACCACCTTCCAGAGAATAACTAACTGCAGCTCTCAAACCTTTTTAAGCCACTTTCCAGAGAGGCAAAGGCATTCAAGACACTGCTGGGCATCCACACAAGATACCACAGGAGAAGACACCACCGGAGACCTGCAGAGGTCAGCCATTTCCCAGGAGGGTGGATGCCATTCTTTACATCTTTCTAAATTTAATTGTTTACTTCCATAAACACCACCTTTGTTTTAATGCTGTTAGTCCAGCCATCCCGCTGTGTCCGATGGCAGTCAATGCCACAGGGTTGCAGTTGCCACATGAAAGGGAACGCCTCTCCATGCAGGCACACGGCTGCCTTGAGGGTGCTGAATAGCCCCGGCTGTAACTGCCCAGAGCTCAGTGCTTAGGTCTAAAATGCCTTTGCATTAACCTGTGCAGTATTTGTTGCACTAATCTTGTTTTCTCCTCTTGTTCTCTGCTTATTTATATGCAAAAAGCGTTGCTGAAGAGTTACAGCATGCAATTTCCTGTAACCTGGATGGAGTGTGTTCTGTAGCATGAAGAAAGCTTGTGCTAGTAGTACAAACAACAACTGCTGAACAGACATGGAGCCAGTTTTTTTATTTCTCAGCTAGCTTTCCTACTAATATAATTGCACTGCCTCCAACAGAGTTACATGGGTGTAAATCAGGATCACAGGAGTTCAGAGTGAGGGATCTATTCCCTCTCCTCTCTCCCAACTCCTACCTTTCAGGCTCTGCAGCTGCCTTCTGCAGAATTCACCTTCTTTCCCTGTCCATCATGTTCTCCATCAGGTATTGTTATCCACTGTAGGTTACAGCAGGTGGAGGCTGTGTTATCATTAAAGACAAACACCTCTCTTCAGTCCTGCCCTCCACCTTGCTGTCATTAGCACCCTGCAGGATGTGCCCAAATGAATGGCACAGTTCCTACACTGACACAAACTGAAGGCAATACTGAAGAGGCTCCCTTTGGCTGCAAAACCAGAACTGCTGGAGCCAACTGCTTGTCCAAACAGAGGTGTTACCACACCATGGCGCTGTGGGTCCTATGGGAAGGGTCTGTGTGAACTTCAGTTCCTGCACTCTGAGCTGGACAACATTTATACTGAGGAGATAGAAGAATTAAAAGAAAATAAGAAGGGTTGGTCTTCACCTGGTGTTTCACTGGGTTCAAAAGCTTTTAGTGTGAGTTCATTCTTTGCCCCTTCATCCCTCTTTCAACAAAAGGACTCAAGATCCTCACACTGATATTTTCACATGTAACACAAACATCTTCCTAAAAAGGAGACACAGCTGTGCCACAAAGGACTGTTTCAGTGCACAGCCTTTTATGCCTGCCTGGCATGTGAGACACACACATTTCCCATTCTCAACTACCTCCTTTAGGGAACAGTAATGTATGCTTTCTGTGACATTCTCCTCTGGGACCATGAAGACAGCTCAGGGGACGAGAAAATGTACACCCTAGTGTTGTTAAACAGTAACATGAGTCTTTAGAACAAGCCTGTAAGGAATTCACCCTTCAGGCCATAATTAAGTGCATTATATTTTATTATTGGTGTACTGAAGGGTTTCCAGCGGACCACTGTCACTGACACAGGACTCACTCTCCAAATCATTATGATTGCTATACAGAGGTCTGCATGGCCTCTACTGGAATTCTCCAAGCATAAGTAACAGCGCAGTACATAATCAGCTCTCCATTGCTGATGTTCAGTTAAAAAGTCATCTGCCATAGAGGATGTTCACAAAGTAAAGGGAGACATGATCTTTCTCAGTTCTTATTTACCATATACACAGTGCAATGAACAGGTACTTCTTGGCATGCACACCAAGGCTGCAGCAAGAAAAGTAGATGAGATATGCAGCAGAAGGGATGGGGGTTTTGGCTTTGTTTTGGTTGGTTGGTTTGGGATATTTTGTTGTTTGTGGGTTTTTTGTATTTTTTGTTTTTAATGAATACCTCATTACTTTGTCTTCATATTCTTGGTCAGCAGCTTATAGTGAAGTTTGAGAACAACCATGAAGGATGAACCTTTATGTTCTTTGGACCACAGAGGAGCTCACTTCTGATCTCTTTAAACCTACTCGCTCACACTTTCTTGCAGAAAAATTCCTACTAGCTCCAGGATGACATTCCTGCCAGACTCTGAATGTCATCATATGGAGATCTGCTCCCACACAGAAGGGTGCAGAAAAGATGATGTGCTAATGAGCTACCTTCTTATCCCTGCTGTCAATTCAGTGACTCTCCCTCCTCCTCTTCCCTTCCCCTGAACTGCAAATGTAATTGCTTTCCAGCAGCACTGTGAAGAGCCCAGTCCATCTGCAACCCTGGAATCCCTCCAGAGGGCAAAGTCTTGGCTTTTTGCTTCAAATTATCTTGTCTCTTCTCTATGGGAGAAGGAAAGAAATACCAACCAGGGTACTGGTGCAGCCAGACTGAGCAGCTGAAATGAGGCCAGTATCCCTTTTGCCATCAGACTACCCCAGGCTGTCCTGCCAGTGCTCAGCAGGCCAGTGCAAGCCTGTTGCTACCATGTCACTAGTACTGTTACTCTGCTTGGCAATGCAGTTTGTGCCTGTGAGCCTCCTCTTCTCATGCCTTTCTCAACATATTACCTAGCACCCAGCAACCAATATAATATCTAACACAGTATGGGTAGCCCAAACACTTAACTCCTCTCCCATGTTCCATAAGGAACTTCAAAATCTCTGCATGCACAGGGCTCAGGTACAGGCAAGCAGGGTACTCTGACACTGTTCACACTGGTTGCCACTTAAACTTGGGTCAAGCCACTTTCCCCTCTCACTCTTCCTAGGTGTAAAGTGAGGCTAATACTTACTCATCTGCCTCCAAGAGGAATAGTTAGACTCAATTAGCTAGTGTAAAAAGAGTTCTGCACATTACTAGAGGACACTGATGCAATGTCTGAGCCTGCTCAAGCTAGAGGCAGCGAATACAGCAAGGTCAACACAAGGTTTAATGGTACTTGTCGTCTACTAAAGGCATAAAATAATTTCAGGTATCATGATTATCAGCATCTTTCTTTCACATCATCTCTCCATATGCAGATTAGAGCTTGCTAAGAGGCACACGATGCGATTCTTGGGCCTGTCCTGTGCAGGGCCAGGAGCTGGACTTCGATGATCCTAGGGGGTTCCTTCCAATTCAGAATATTCTGTGATTCTGTGAGTAATTCTGCTTAGGGCCCTTGGAAATGAGGAGAATGAGAGACCAGCCAAAGATAAAAAACCTGACAAGCAAGAACCCTGCTCAGTTTTCTTAGAGGATCCATAGGTACAATATTTGTCAGCATCTAAGCTGTTGCTTTAGTTTCTCTCATACAGAGGCAACATAACAGGAAAAAGATGAGTCAATAAAGATTTGACAAAAAACAATTACGCTTTTAAACTGTGTTTTTCCCCAGCTCCCTTTTTAATGAAATCTATGCCAGCCTTTTATAACTTCTTCAATTTAAAGGGTCACATTGAGAGCTCAACGCAGTTTCCTGCCCTGCCTTTGTTTCTCAGTTTCCCATTTGTAGCTGCTTTTTGACTAGCCTAGTCACAGAGCATGAAAACAATTGTTTTCAAATCCAGTGCACTATGTTCTCAACAAACACACAGAAAAACTGGAGGATTCAGCATGTAAGTATTTTTATCTGACGTCTTCTGGGAAAAAACACATGTAGCCATCAGCTGGCCTTCCCACATGGATTTCTTCCACTTAAGGATTCTTTAGATATTCTTTAATGTTAACACTCAACCATATGATGCAATCTTTGCTACATATATCACCAATGCTGTAACATGCCACAATGACCCTTCCACTCAGGTACTGAGTCCTCTCGTGGCACGTTCCGCCATGAGCAATATGTAAAAGATGAAGCTATTGCACAACCCATGACACGGTTCTTCCACTACCTCCAGCACAGCATCTTGCAATTCCTCTTTAATTGCTCTCATTATCTTCCTCTACCATATATATATCTAAAGAACAGACCAAAATAGCTCATAGAAAACAGGCCAAGTATCCTACAGGAGAGTGGTTGAAATTTGATGGAGGGGTTACCTCTCAGGCTGAAGATGTCACAGAGGATGCTGCGGAGTCTAGCTTTGACTTTTCTTCGGTGCATAACTCAATGACATGACGGAACTAAAAGACTTCACACCTGCTGATGTTTGAAAGAAGACCCATGGCAAGACTATATTTCTGTTCAACACACACTAAGTCACGCTGGCTTACAAGGAGGAAGATAAGAGAGTTCTTGGCTTAGATTTGCTCTCTCATTTGTACTACTTGACTGCAAAGAAGTGCAGTACATAGCTTTGATAGGTGAATGGAGCCCTCTTCAACTACACCCGTCACTGCTTTATTGCCACTCTAACACCTTGCAGCAAAATTTAAATTCTTTCTGCTGTCGCATTTAACCTACCTGAGCATGTATCCATCCACAATTACTCTTTCACAGCCAAGGCCTCTACAAGCAACAGCTGTCTGCTGCCCTCCACTCTGTCTGCTTACCCATGGAAGTCCAAGGGCTAAGAAATCTGAGGGCTCCACTGTGCTACTTTGCAGTACAAGGCAGGGAAAATTTGGAAAGCCAGTTTAAGAAGGCAGCTAAGGGAAAAGAGGAATGCTTGGAGGTGGGTGTGCACTCTAAGCTACTGTTCCAGCAAATATTACCTTAACCTGTTGAACAGCAGTTTGTTTGTCCTGTTCATTTTGGCTAAAGCATATACACACAACCCTGCCAGCAGGGCTAGAGAAGCAGCAAGAAAAAGCTGGGACTTTCCCACCAGCCAGATCTAGAAGAGAAAAGCTATCCACAGCCTTTGTTGCAGAAAATTCATATTACAGTCTCCCACATCAGGAGAGAAAGTAACAGAGTGGGGGATAGGAGAGGAATAGGTGGCCAATGATTCAACTAAAGATGCAGCATGAAACAGTCCCTGGACAATAGTTTGATCACCACAGCCATCTTAAGGATTGGAGAGAAGAGGCATTGGCAGATTCGGAGGGATTCTTCATACCTCTGACTTTGGAGACATCTGTTATGCATAGACTCAGACTCAAAGGAATCACTAACGGGTTCATCTTCAGCACATGAATAAGCTTAGCATCGAGTGATTTAAACACATCCTTATCAGTCTTCACCTAGGAACCTCTGATCCTTATTTTCTTGTTTAAGCTTTAAAACAATAACAGGATCTGATCATAACATTATACATGCAGACAGTCTGTGAGAAGGCAGCACTGTGACTGCACATTCCAGTTTGAGGCAGTGTAATACAGAATAAAGCTAAAGGCTTTGGTCTTAGCCTGCAGTGACAGACTTTAGGAATAAGCTTCTGCCAAATGAGATCCTAGAGAGAAAAACACTACTGTCCTTTTATCTTGCATCCACCTTTGCATTAAGCCTCTCTCTTCCAGACAGTGCCCAAGTGCTCCAGCTGACACTGCAAGCTACCTGTTGCTAGAGGCTGGGACCTTGGCAGGTTGTAGCAAAGCGCTGTGGGATTGGAGGCTGTGAGATTCGAGGGTGGTTTTAAAAAGAGAAAATTATTATCCTAAATAATCATTAGCCCCTTAAAGGGCCATAACACAACAGCTTTCCTATCTTAGCTGGCACCAGTTGTCTAAAATAGGACTTCTACTAGAGAAGATTGAATATATTGGAAACCCTGCATTGTTCCACAATGTGACATCTATGTATAAACCACAAAATTAAGAATGGGCTGTACATGTCCCAGCACTGCTGATAGTAATTTCACATTCCTCAGAAACTGGAATGCAAGCAGCTGTACAACCACTTTGTTATAATTGTCTGGAGGCTCTGGGTTAAGAGCTTATTTATTTTCTTACAGAAAAGATGAACTCAAGGAACTGGTTTCTTTCCAATACACACCAATAACAGGACAGAGTGTCTTTCCTCGAGAGTGCAATCTGTACCAAGGTGGGGTTCACACATCTTGAGGATTTGAAATAGTGGAGAGTCGTGAAATTTTATACCAAGTACAACATCAAGAGAACGTTTTGAGGTTTTTCCTTGAAATGAAAGGAGGGAAATACCAACCAAAAAAAGCTGACGCTGTCAGCTGTTCTTCTGGCACCAGCCTAGTGTTCCTACCTCATGAGAATCTGGCTGTGTGCTCTTTCACCTGATGTAACCTCAGGCTATGTGTAACATCAGACTTAGTAAACAGGTGGTGACGATGCCTCTGCTTGTGTACAGCATTCCAGTCCAATCATTACATAACCAGTCACCCAGGTTCTGAGTTTGATATTCCACTGACACATCAGTCATCAGCCTCCAGCATCCATGCAACCAGAGTGTCTGCAGATTTGGTCTGCCTCAGAAGATTTCCCATAGTCAGCACTGTACAGCTCACAGCTAGATTTCACACTGGCCATTAAACAGGGAGGATGCCCTGGTAAAATCTGGATCCAGATTCAACCAAAATACCTCACCCTTCACTCTGTGTTGTTATGACTGACTTTGGAGGAATGAGTGCTATAAATGTTGTACAGGGATGCAGGTAGAATTCAGATTGGATTAAATTAAGTAGATTACTTTTAAAAAGCACATTGACCACATCAATCTCACTTCTCCCTCTTTTCCACCTCCCCTCAAAAAAGTTCTACTGTTTTTCAAGAGCCAAATATGTTCAGATGCATGTAGCCCTGCACCTACACTATCCTTTACTCCAGACAAGGCAGATAAACTGCACTTACATTCTGCTTTGGTGACATTGTCACTGTCACCATATACAGACAGACATAACTAGGTGAGATATCTGGCACTGGGAAGATACCACAGTACCTCAAACTATCAAAGAGCTGCTGAGAGCTGACATTAGAAAGGGAAGAGTGACAAGGAAATCTCTGGCCTTGGCATAAATAGATGAAGTTACTGAACTCAGTACGGCTCAAACGAGCTTCTGCTCTTACATCAGTTTCAAAAACACTCAGAATGTAGCAGGGTTTCAGATAAGACAAGGTTAGGAACACGAGAACTAAAATCTGCAATGGAGGTGTGTCATGGCAGAGTTGGAAAAGGTTAGTGCCAGAACAGGATCAATAGCAGAATCAGAGCAGATGGAGAAAAGCAATCTCATAGGGAATATTGATAGGTCAAAGTCAGCCAAGAGAGGAGCAGTATCAGGACATGGCGAGTGCAGAAAAAAGTTCAAGCTGACACGGCAGTTACATGCATGCAGGAGTTACGCAAGCAGAAACGAGAACACGTTAACAGTAAATACCTTGTTCTGTCAACACTGGATGCTGTTTTCGGCCACAGGAACTAAAACACTGGCAACTCATGACAGCTCTTGATGGAGCAGAACTGTATTTGCTGGTGCCCACAGGTCACTGATAGCTGAGGAACTCCTCTTAGGAGCTCATACGCCTTCAGTAGTGATCTTAACCAGCCAAGAGCTTGGTCACTGCCAGCCTATATAATTTTGCTGTCAATCTCACAGCTACTGTGCACTCCGGTGCCTTGTTCTTCAAGTCACCATGTTCCCTGCACAGAAGACGATGCAATGTCTCATGAGTCACTTTCCTGTTGCCTCCCAATTAGGAGCACGGATCACAGAACTGCACTGTCAACACTTCCTACACGCTGCTTACACGGCAAGAAGGTGCAGCAGAAACATCTCTGCACCTAGAAAAGCTGTTGAGTTACTCTTCCTCGCTGTGCATTCCATCAAAAGACTGGCAGAAGCCTTCTCACACATGCACTGGGAGCAGGGAAGTTATAACTGATTAATGGACAGGCTGCTCAGGACTGCAGCAGCCCTGCTTGCTTGGGCATTCTGGCACAGCGTGGCAGCAAAGCTACCATTTCACAAAGTGCACCTGTGACTTTTGCCCAGGGAACAAAAGCAAAAATACAGCCTCTGGGTAATGACTTGTTTGTGCCTGGAGAAGGGAGGTGAAGTCAGTGCCTTCAGGCATAGGCATGTCTAGATGACACAAAGCCAGGGCAGAAACACCAGCGGTCACAGTAAGCCCAGCTGGTGCAGCCATGCAATCTGAGGCTCTCTCCACTGACAGTGCCATGCGTCACAAGTAGTAGAGGTGAACCAGCCCAGTGACTCTCAGCGTTCCTACGTGCCTGGAGTCAGCTTCCCCAAAACACACCCCCTTACACAGTGCTGCCCCAGGGAATTCACTCCAATTTATGCTAATGCTCTGACTCACCCTGTTGATCACCTCTCTCTTTGCAGCCACTACAACAGCAGTCTTGGCTGGGCAGTCAAGTGCCTGAAGCCTGGCCACTGGTGTTTCTCCTACCTACCTTCTGTCATCACCACAGCCTGTGACTTGACGCAATATGTCCCCACAAGTCTTATGTTTCTATCTTATTACGGGACCGCATAACCATTCTGCCACATGGCCCTGGTGTTTCATTCAGTGCAGAAAGGAAACTTTCCTTCCTCAAAAAGAGCACAATAAAGTACGATAGAATCATGAAATATCCTGAGTTGGAAGGGACCCACAAGGATCATTAAGTCCAACCCCTGGCCCTGCCCAGGACATCCCAGCAATCCCACCATGTGTCTGACAGTGTTGTCCAAATGCTCCTTGAGCTCTGTCAGGTTTGGGGCTGTGACCACTGCCCTGGGGAGCCTGTTCCAGTGCCCAACCAGCCTCTGGGGGAAAAAACCTTTTCCTGATATCCAGCCCAACCCTCCCCTGACACAGGTTCAGCTGTTCCCTCAGTTACTAAGGAACTGTTCTGTGTAAGAACATCACCAGGTCATGTTCATCAAGGGAAGTTACTGGTGACTATAACAAAAAGGCAAAAGAAAAAAGGAAAAACAGTGTGTAATTAACACTCTCCAGAGTCATCAATACCCAAAATACACAGTTTGGCTTTTTGATTTAAGAACATGCACCTACTCAGTTTGACTCCAAATTTTTGTTAATTTACACAGTTATTGCCTTAAATATATATTGCCATACAAGCTCTGAACAAAAACCACTTTGAAGCTGGACAGTGGGAAGACGTAGATGAGAACACTGTGTTTCTTGTTTTCATGAGGACCAGCTATCCCACCTGGAATGCTGCTTGGTTTACTAACTTCATTTACTACACAATACTCTCTGGTAATCCATGTAAGTGTGACTGGATTTTTTGTAAAGCCAAATCAGACTTCAAAGAGGCAATGACCAGAGCCATTGCCAGTCTGGTAACAGACCACAAAATTATGACTTTTCCTAGAAACAGGATCCCTTTTATTTCACTAGAAAAATTCTGTTCCTACATGGGCTACAGCTGCGCTTTCTGACTTCTCATTCCACAGTTCTTGAAAGCATCATATCTTCTAAACTGAACTGAAAGAGGTTTAATGTTGAAACTATTTTATCTTCATATTTGATAATAGTTTTAAAGCATTTGAGAGTCATGATATCCCCGTGGTGGAAATGATAACACCGAGCTTTCAAATGCTGCTATAGTGAATTGCCACAAAGGTTATGAAGCATGGAATGCACCAGGACAACCCAGGATTGGCCACAACCACCAGCACAACAGCTCTATCCAGGCAGATTCTTTTCCTGTTTTGATCGTGGATGTGATTAAGCATAGGAGGACAATGCCTATCACTGGCCATACAAAAAAAAAAAAAAAAATCTAACTGCTACTGATTACTTTTGAGTATTCTCAGCTGTCCAGTCATGCAAGTTCTTGCTGTCCCTACAGGCAAGAAGGTACTTGACTTCACAGAGCAGCATGACTGACACTGAGGTTACAGGCAGGATTCTATCCAGCTCTGGAGAGATGTTCAAGAACTGACCGCTGTCCCATAACATGGGAAGGATGGTCTGGACCAGCCGCTGGGCAGCATATGTTACTTATGCATTTGTGCTCCAGGCTGAATGAGAATTGATTCTGTGGAACCTGCGTGCAGTCATACAAGTCCTTGTGCCTGTTATGCTGGCACTCATCTTTGTCTTCTGGGGCAGAAAGCCCAATCTGATACACAGATGCTCTCTCTGAATTAAAGAGCTGGCAGATCTTGCTTACCATATTTGTCGGGGCACCACAAGGAAGACAGGCAACGCTTAACAGGTGTGAGTCATTTCTTGGCTTATTAAGTGGCTTTTCCCCCTAACATTGTGCTCTAAATAAATAGCATTAGGCTTTAAGGAAGGTGATGATCACTGGCACGTTCTGCTCCTTATCTTTGGGAAGAGCACCTGTGATTACTAAGGAAAGGTCTTTGGATCTGCTGGGCTAATTGCAAAAAGATTCAGCAAAGGAAACTGCAGACTAGATTACCAAACGAAAGGGGGAAGAAAGCAGGGTTTGATTTTGAGACAGCTGAGAATTAAGGGCCCAAAATCTAAGTGGACATGATTTAGGAAATCACAAAAGTAGAGTTACTGTTGAGACAAAATATGTCCTATTAATACTACAAAAGCAAACATGTTAGCTCACATACAACACACAGCAATCTTTCAAATCACAAACAGTTTTCAATGCATGTGCCAGAGGTACTAAAATAGAGATATTTTTAGCAGGACTGCAAATTTCCTTCAGACACAGACACAGTCTTAACATCAGAATACAAAATTCTGCCCAGTGTGGCCATGTTTAAAGCAAAGTCTTTCAGTATTCGTCACTAACAATAAACAGCTCGATATGAGCCATAATCTCAGGACTATTTAGGTTTTTTGTCACAACAGTGAGACTTTTAGTCATTCTAAAAATAAACAAATCTCATTTGCTGATACAACAGCATCACATTAGGTAGGTCATTTGCTTGCAGCAACCCTCTGATGCTCAAAAGTGAAATACAAGGTAAGTGAGGCATACTTACACATTAAAAACTGTAAAGAAGAAGCAATGCAGTGAAGGAGCAACTTCTTATTGAAGTAGCTACTTATCAGTCTTTCTCCACACTGATCCGTAAGTCCCACACATTGAGTGGTTGGTTTATTGCTTTGACTGGACAGTCAACATCTTCCTGCCCTGGAGCAGAGTCTAAACAGAAGCACTGGTACTACTCTCCTTTTTGCCTTGATAAGGATTTGGATGAATGGGTAGCGCATGGGTTTTCTTTCTCTCTCAAAGACTATTAGTGACTATTGCAGGTGCAAATCCTTCTCTCCAGCCAAGGCAAAGAGGCTGAGGCTGCTAGGAGGCTGGCTGCTCTCCTTATGGTGGGGCATGCTGGGCTCTACTGAATGGCTGGTAGAAGGAGAACTTTGTTTCTCTTCGCGTTGATTAGTCTCATTGCAGACTCTGCTCTTACTCTCTCTTTATAGGCCTTTCTCACATATCTTTAGCTGCGTGGTTTGTGGGCTTTGTTTCTAAGGAGAAATCTCTTGTGCTTTTATTGCACTTGGCAACTTGGTGTCTAGCTGGTTCTTGCTTAAAGCTTTGTGACAGACCTTGTAGCTCACTTCTCTGTTGGTAAGTAGAACATGAATTTCAGCTTCCTTCCACCTTCAAAATTCCAGATGATACTGTAATGTCACTTTGTCTAAGGTTTCTCAGTAGTCAAAGGATGAGATGGTGATTCAGGGTTTGCCTTTGTTCTGCAGTTCTTGTTTTGCCATTGGTATATCAATTAGATACTTCAGAACTCTCAGCTTTTCCCTGTTTGGGGCTTTGTGGTCATCCTCTAGCTAGTTGTATCATAGAAAATGAATCCAGAACATCCAGACTACAGAGAAGCAACACTTGTTATGAAGACACTGTGAAAATGTGGGCAAGAACAGCTACATGCATGTCAGGACAAAAGCTTATCACTGCAAACTGATGAAGCCTTTCCAGCACCACAAATCTTTGGAAACAACTGAGACTATGCTCCAGCTGTTTCCTGTGATACTCATGAAATGGGAACTTTTTGCTCTTCAAACAAAAGCACGGAGTATAAAGGCGTTGTAGGTAATACATATAATAACATCACATAATCTCTGTTGCAGTTAAATCTACATAAAGTAGTTATTTTTCTGTTATTGGCTCTTCATATGGAGGAGTGCAGGGTGCAATTTTAAAAACCTGCTGCTCTGCATCTTAGGATATTCTTTTCAGTCTCTAGGCTAAGACACTCATGTCCACCTAATGCTCACATCCCTTTGTATGAATTCAGTTTGCTACATTGCAGTTTATTTCTCGTGTCTCAAATACAGGCATTGTTTGTTATTTCCCAGTCATGTGGTACCTGTCCCACTTACATATTTACACTCTTTGCTAATAAGCTCTTGGTTTGTGTCTGTTTTTTCACCTCCCTTGACGCCAGCACCAGGAGTTCTTGGAATGGTGGTTTTGCTTTAGACGTGGTAATTTTTTTAAAGGCCTCATAACAATTGCCATCCTGTCTTTTATTGGTTTGCATCTAAGATATCTTAGGTCTTGATAGTTATACCTCTGCCTGTAATCTCACTTCTTTCTTGATCCTCTTTTTATTTGGCTAAAAAATCTTCTTACTGAGTTTTTAACTCTTTGCAATGTGCAAATTGCCCCTAACTGCTGCAGCTGTTGCTTCATTGCATAGCAAAGTGTCAAACTATAAATTTCTTTGTTGGCTTTTTCCTTTTCCATTCTGTATGAGTTCCCTATTATTTCTTAAACTCTGTTTGAAAAAAGCTGATTACTTCCCTAAACACTTATCCTTCCCTGCTTAGGAGGCAAATCATAGACTTGTTTTCTACCTTTGAATTAAAATTCTATGTCTCTTCCACATTTCTGTCTTTGGCCAGTGCGGGGAGGGATCTTGTATCAGTCAGCAACTTGGAATATGACAGAGGGACAGGGTGACCAAAGCAATTGAGGCCAGCTTCTGCCAGATGTGTTAAAACTGCCCACCAGCTTGAAGGGAGAACAAGAAGAGAAGTCAGCAAAAAGCATTGTGCAGCAAATCATGTTGTACATGGTGTACAAGACTCAAAAGCCAAAATGTTAATGCTGGGTTTTCTTCAGAGGACCCCTCAGCCAACAGCCAGGCTACTGGGAGGGTATTGATGTCATTTGGACCTATGGATTCCACTTCCTCCCATATAACCAAATACAAACCAAGTTTGTCATTGCTCCATCAATTTTTGTCATTCCCATCTGTGAACTGGGCACATGGCAAAAACTACCAACGCAGCTGACAACAGTCAGAGCCGTGGCAATCATAAGGGCAAACAGACTGAATGTGAAGCAGGTCAGTGTCAGTTTAAGATCTGTCCTGCAGAAGAATCCCCCAAACTAACCCCTTGTCCTAGATATGAGGACTTGCTTTTTAGTCTGGTGTACTTTATTCCCTGGAGTTTAGGGGGGGATAAACATACTAGTATGTCCTTTGCCATTTTCAGTTCTCTTTGCTCAGGACTGTATTTAACCCCATGAGTTAAAGCATTTAACAATAGAAGTGTGTTCCCTTCAGATGTGGCAAACAAATCTAAATACACCCATTTCCTGCTGTTCTCTACCTCATTCCTGATCCTCAAGCTATGGAAGCTTTGATGACGCTGTTTCTGTATTTCCATGTTTGAAACAAAGCTGACTGCGTGTTTCTGTGGTAAGTGTTCACATCTGGAGAGGATTTGTAAATGCCATAAGAATAGGCTTCATCAAACAGAAGTGAGTAAGACCCCTGGTAATGTACATGTATGTGACATTGTGATATCAGGTGAATAGTACTGATTTACATTGCTTTAA